GTAACCGGTACCGGTTACGGTAGGTACGGTTGTTAGTTAGTTACGTTAACTTAACTTAGTAGTACGACCGACTACCTACCTACGTAGAACGTAACTATATATATATATATATATATATATATATATATATATGTATATATTATTGTCTGTGTATATATATTTGTGTTTTTATGGACATATTTCCATATATATGGTTGTGTAACTTCGCAAGTATGCGAGAAAGACCCTGTAATTTAAACTATACCAAATAGGACAAAATAACATTAAAAATTACAAACGCACACGTTGGACATTATTTTAGACACTATTGTAATCGGGTGATCGAAAAACGCTTTTTCACAATACATGCCAGTTCGATATGTTGTCTCCTGAGCGTATCCTGACGACAGGAGATTTAATCCACACTTGTCACATATCCTGCCAGAAGGGACATTGTGAACTTCATAATTCACAGGCATACAAATAATTGTTCACACCTATCAATAGTATTGTCCTTGATCTCTGTTACCAATTTCAGAGCTATCGTACCAGTAGTATAGCGTCAGTTGCAATTTAACCTGTTTCCGCTCGATGCATGGTGACCACCTTTTTCAATTAAGGTGGCAAATTGTTATCAATATGAAAACTGATTGATTTCTGGAACAAACAAAGGTGGCAAAAAAAAAGGATTTCCAGTTTTATACTTGTGGTGTTGAAATACTGACAAGCAATCACATATATTATATACACAAGTCAAACACATTAATCGTTAGTTTATTTGACTTATATACAGTGACAATATAAGCCCACATGCCGAAATATGCCACCCCAGTGCACAGTCTTCAAGTGCAGCTTAATCTGTACATCTTTCTGCTTCACTGTTAAATGATCTCTGTCGAGTTCTATGACTCGGAATAATAACATTATAAAAATGCGTGTTTAGATGTCATATAACTCATGATATATTTATTATATAGACCATAGACCTTTTACTTTTTTAGTGTACATAAACCAAGTGTAAGCTTCATATATATGTTCATACTTAGTAGATTACTATGCTACGTTGTGCATATGTGTTGTGCATACACAAGAACTGATTATAAATATATTTGTAACTTTTAGTATCAACTATCGTCACCCATACTAAATAGCAAGCTATGTCAATACATAATATTAATATGCTCTTAAAAGTATAATATGTGGAAATATAGGAGAAATAATAAATATGAGGAAATTATACAAGAGAAATAATAGATATGTATTATATATATTTTTCGAAAAAATAGTAAATAAGAAAAATGAACGAAATATATTTTTAAGAAAATAAATTTATGAAATAAATATGCCATATATTTTCATAAATATGCCATATTTTCTAAAATAAAAATATTCCTAATTATAAATATATAAAACGTTGAAAATAATAATATGCACTTTTACGTTTATTTGTATGTGTTCCTCGATCAGCAGTGGACAGTGGTTAATGGTGCTATACTTGCTCAAAGTAGGGGTGATTTCGAACCCAATCTATACGCGAGCGCACCAGATGGGTATTTTTTAATGAGTACATATATTTACGCTTTCGTCCCCGCGGCTTCTCAGCCATGATTTAGCCATCATGGGTTTTAACTTTTATTTATATAAAAAACAACATTCATAGCATAGCCTTCTAAATTAAACCGATTCTAAAAACCCTAAAAAATAGCAAAGGAGGCTATTTTTGACTTTATTTAGTTTACACACATCATATTCAAATTTTTATTATGAAATTTCCTTTTTTTTTATACGTAAGGGTGCTCGATAAATATAAAAAAATAGCTTTTTTACAAGAAGGGTGCTCGATAAATACAAAGTTTAATAAAAAGTATTTTGTTTTAAAATAAATGTCATACATTTGGTCCAGTAATTTCTAATAAAAAAAGATGCTCCACTAAAGAAAAACTAAAAGTCGTTTTACGCATTGAAAAAATTCGATAATCTCAAAATCGGGTTTCGCAGTGTTGATTGTTTTGATGAAAGGAAGCTATAACTGTCTGACTATTAAAGCGATCAGTTTGAAAATTGTGACACTTCGACAGACCTTAGAGATGACCGGGCATGGCGATTTCTGACCTCAAAAGTCCAAAATTCGTTTTGGAAGGGGCACATACAAGAAAGCGGCCGATATTTCCAATTTTGTCAGACTTGAAATTTGAACCAAGTGTAAAATTCAAAAAGTGTCTGGGTGATTTTCTTATTCGGATCATTGTCAGCATTTTCCGCTATCAAATTCTCGAATCGGGCCTGTATTTAATGTCCCGTGCCCCCTGTCAAAAAGGGTGATTTGGTGGAACATCTTTAAGCAACTGCACCATACCCTTAACGAAAGTTATCAGTGATCCTGCTCACTGCTCGGTAGTCACCACTCACCACTCACCACTCGATAGAGTGTATACTACTAGAAGAGTAGAGAGAGTAGTGCTACTGAATACTAGTCTCTTGACTCATCTCTCTCTCTCTCTCTCATTGTTTCAGTATTCTATCTGACTATCTCTACCATCTCTCAATAAGAAGAAGGAAAAAAACGGAAAGATCACTGATAAACTATTGAACTTGTGATAAGGGTATTAGAGGAAATAAATAGGATCACTCTCTAGTACAAAAAATAAAATTAGTGCGAACAAATATTTAATATTGCTAGTATATACTATTTCCACCCTCTACTCTACATAGACTATAGTCTATACTTTCTAATTTCTCTATTTACTACTAGTGACTTCTGCATAAATAATCTCTCTCTCTCTACTAGAGAGAGAGTAGAGTAGTCTGGAGAGCCACAGTAGTGGTATTGGTCTGCAGAGTGCAGTGTGATCTGCAGAGTGCAGTGTGACACTGTGACTGTAAATATGAGTACAGTCACTACTAGTTCTACTAGTCTCTACTCTCTACTCTCGCTCGTCTTGTTGTGTGCGACTGTGTGTGGGTTTAGCACTGCAGTTTACTGATTAGCTGTGGTTTTTTACATTTTTGATTATACTCTACAATTTTTCTCGAATGTTGTTTTAGAAGAACAAAATGTATGGCGCCGTAGTGACATACTCATAGTCCGCACTGTACTTCGACAATCAAAATTCTTTAGTAGCGTGTATTAATATATTTACTCTCATATCAACTCGGAGTTGAAACCCATTTTCGGAACTGGGCACAATTGTATTGATCAGCTTTGACAATTTAACAGAGGTGTGCTTCAAATTTTAATCCATATTTAATTTTTTATTTTCATAAAACAATTGTCTTTATATTTGTGCTCGACAAATAGTCATACCCTTAGCAGTGAATAGAGATCCTACTCTCTCTACTCTCTCGCTTTCTAAAGTATAGTAAGCACGCTATCGAGTGGTGAGTCATTGAGTGGTGAGTCCGTGAGTGGTGAGTGGTGACTGGTGAGCGGTGACTACTGAGCAGTGAACAGTGCTACTGAATATATACTAGTCATGAGATATGACTCATCTCTCTCCCTCACTGTATTAGTATTCTATCTGACCATCTCTACCATCTCTCAACAAGAGGTGAGAAAAAAAAAGAGGGAGATCACTGATAAGATAGTTAGTACATACAGAGGACCTCTCAGACTCTCTATCTCTAGAAGACGACTCTGAACAGGACCTTGATGATAGTATATTTTGACGATAACAACGAACAATTCCATGCACTACGCTCTCTAGACCTCAAAGAATAAAGAACGAAAGAGGATCGCGGGTGTATCTAGTTGCCGCGGACTGCAGTGGGGCCCACCAGTACTGTACCTACAACCGTAGAGATTTATAGCCTTTACTTTGTAACTAAAAATTACATAATAAAAATAAAACACCGCTGACGTCGGTGGGGAACTAAAAGCTCTGCAAAGAGGGGAACATGTTATTTTTAATTTTGGGGGTTCGCACCCTTATTTGGTTTGCGAAAGCGAGCCTCACGGACCATGGTTAAACTGCAACTTCAATTTTGGTTCACGTTTGGGTCCAGATTTCCAATTTCTTTTGGTTGTTGTTGTGGGGGAGGGGGTTCGACTGTTCGTTTTCTTTTACGATTTTTTTTAATTTTGTGTTTTCGTATCCTTGTTTCTTTTGGGAAAGCGCGCCCCATGGTTTCAAGTGCAACTTCAATTTCGGTCCAGAACCAGATTTCCAAAAACAAAAAAAATTATTTTCAATTGCTGTTGTTGTTGGGGGTGGGGGGGGGGGAGCCCCCAATAACCGTATCTCTTCTACTGCTGGTATCACATCGTGTTTCATGTACAGGGTCTCAAATGGGCACGACAATAAAAGTTACTGTTAGGCGGTTCCAAATCAATTTTTGTTTCTGCTGATTCCTTCCTACTTTTTTTTTCCGATTTTGGGTCTAAAGTCTACACGTCCTGAAAATTTTCAGTGACCGATTTTCTCCTTCCCCCTACTGTATTGGGGGCCTTTTTGAAGGTCTAAATTCCCCCCCTGCTGTATAATATTATCCCTACTGTATATGGGGTCTTTATTGGGTCTATATATATATTTTGCCTTGGCAACATAATTCTGCCACAGTCTGCGTATTCTTACCCTTTAATGGATAAAGCAAGTTAAACCGTGACGCCTCATCAAAGAAGCGGCATACGTAAAGGTCGCCTGTGTGCTCGGACGTGGGCAGGTCAACCAGATCAATGATGACCCTGCGCCATGGAATATCTTCAGTCCAAGTGCGTCTACTACGTTCTGGTGCTTCAGCTTATGGTTTTGTTGTCTGTGAGTGAGAACGAAAGAAGAGGTGAGGTATATATATAAATATACATGTGCATAGCGCTCATACTATGTATATATATATTCATATAACTATGTACACGCATGCCTAATGTATATATTTATGCATGCACCCAAACTTTATGTACATATATATGAGCACACACACATACTCGATGTATATACACACATGTGTATAGCGCTCATACTATGTATATATATATATATATTCATATACCTATGTACACGCATACCTAATGTTTATATCTATGCATACGGCCATACTTTAAGTACATATATATGAGCACACACACGTACTCGATGTATATATATATACATGTGTATAGCGCTCATACTATGTATATGTATATATTCCTATATCTATGTACAATCATACCTAATGTTTATATTTGTGCATACACACATACTTCACGTACATATATATGTGCACACACACATATGTGATGTATATATAAATACCCTTGTCTACAATACTCGATATATATATATATTATATATATATATATATATATATATATGTAGTGCACAATTATTGTCTACAACAATCTTCGGTAGATCAAATCCATCGACACCTCCTTTATAAGCTCAATTAAGATATTTGTATACAGCCGTCTAATTCTTGAATCCTGTAGTATTTCCAGTGATGCACTGAAATAACACATTTATATATTCATCACTTGTTTCTGTACACGCTGATGTCAATTTTCTCCTATTACGTCGGAGCTCTCGACTTCTGAAAAGCTCCAGTTTTTTAAAGCATGCTGTCGTTCCCAAACATGTTTTGGCTTCCGTACGTTCACTTACATTCTCTGGCAGTCTATATGCCACGTATTGAGCTGGTGTATTGTTGCCATGATTTATACATCTATCGGCGTGTTAGGTTCCAAATGTTTAATTGCATCATCTAATTCAATGTATGTACGCAAAATATTATGTTCCATCGGAATTGTCTTCAACTGTACCCCTTTCTCATAACTACGAACCGGCTCCATCGATGCATGATTCTTGATCACTTTTTCGAGTTACTTTATAAGATACACCTCATGCCTATTGAGCAAACGTAGTAGCGCAAGAAGATCTGATTTAACCTCCACCCAATCACTTCTCATAACAATGCCCAAAGCCAATGTAGTCCCTAGCACATTTGCTGCCTTATGTATATCATCGATTCTTAAGCGACGTCTACTTGATACATGTGAGTTTACCTGTTTCGCATGTAAGAAAGGTTACGATATTGTATCGACACCAATCGTCCTGCTAAACTTATCCTGGTGACCATCGATACAGTTGAGAACATAAGCTATATTCTTAATCGTTGGATCTCCTAGGTAGTTCTGCCGCACGAATCCAACCTCCTTTGATCGTAAATAATCAATTACTATATTTTGATACTTGTTCACGCTATAACTTCCAGTGCTATATGGAGGTAGGAAGATACTATTTGATTTCATCAGTACATCCATATAATTGACTTGTGGCTTCTTTTTAGATGTCATACCTTCTACTGATACCGGTGTCACCACTATAGGCACACAGTCAAATTCAATGCACGTTAGTTTGAATTGATTCAGGAATATGTCCACTGTCATGCTTTGTGGACAAGTACGGCGTAAAGCCATACGATCTGTCTGGGTGGTTTTGTTCGGAGGGAAGTCATGTATATATCCGTATATCTCGAAGTCGCTGCATACTAGGTTAGCTTCCGTATTGTACACATTGAACAGCCTTTCTACGCAATCAGTCAGCTCAACCGCTTTGATGGCTACCCCACGAGGTTGGTTATTTACCATCAGTCGGCCAAGTTAATAGGCCTCCATGCGCAAATCATTTCGTAAAAAGCTTGTGATACCAAATAAACGAGTGTGTGTGTGCGTGTGTGTACGAGTTATCTATTATATAAACTGATCTATCTATACGGAAGTACAGACACACGTACATATTGTGACTCTGTGACTGTGAACCTGTGACACTGTTGTGACTCTGTGACTGTGAGGCTGTGACTCTGTGACTGTGAGGCTGTGACTCTGTGGCTGTGACTCTGTGACTGTGAGGCTGTGACTCTGTGACTGTGAGGCTGTGACTCTGTGAATTCCCAAACCGGAAGTATCTCATAATATAAAACGAAAACGGTCAAAACGACCGCACAATATTTTGGCGGCTTTGGCGTTTCAAAACAATAGGCTAATAAAAACTCCCCAAAATAATACATATGACCCCCCCCCTCTCAAGTATAGACTTTAGACAGTAGAGTCCTGCCTCCTATTTAAAATTTAGAAATTTCTAGCAGAAACAAAAACCTTTTTGGAACCGCCTTAGCACCATATTTTAAAAAAGTACATAATGTACCCTATAAGCCTATTTAACCCTACAACCCAGTATGTGTTCTAAAAATCATTTTAAAAAACGTTTTATTGAAATAGACATTGGAATTTTCATTTTTGTATGTACATATTTAGACGGTCTTGTGAAATTTTTTATTCTTTTGGATCAGTTTTACTATTTCTTGCTCACAAGCATAGCCTTCTAAATCAAACACTATAAGGACTTATCCAAATAAGCAGATTTAGTCCTAAAAAAAAACTTTGATGAATTTTTGATTCCTGATTTTTAAGGGACAACGGCATAGCCTTCTAAATTAGACAACAACGGGTCTATTTTAAAAAAAAATCCTACGATTCTTTTAGGATTTTACAATTTACACTAGGTACATAATACTACACATCCCTCCCTGGTAAATACTTTTTTTTGACAACTTTTGGCGTAGCCTTCTTTGTCTAATTTAGAAGGCTATGCTTTTGCGTGCTTTTGGGTGCTTTTAAAATGCTTTTGAATGAAATGTTACGCAGCGGTACATAGATGTACATTAGTACTATATACATATATAACACTAAAAATAGAACAAAATATTTGTAATAAGTGTTTCTACTCTCTACTCTTAGTCTCTACTTTCTCCTTTCTCTACACCTAGAGAGCTATCTAGAGTAGTACGAGAGTGTAGTGATACAGTATTGCAGTCTCCGCTGTGTACATACATAGTCTAAAATACTTGTGTGTGTGTGACTCTGACTCTGACTCTGAGTCTGTGGGTTCAGAGTGACATTAGCTGTGGTTTAGATTTTACACTTTCGTTACAGACTATAGTTTACAGTTTTCTCTACAGAATGTTGTAATATATGTAGAAGTACGTATCTCTCTCTACAGAGTACATAGACGAACAGTACAGTACAATTTTATCTTATTTTAAATATGTACTGTATTTACTTCGACAAGCAAAATTCTTTAGCAGTATTGACATTTACTATTGAAATTTAGTTATTTCTATTTTATGAACCCTCTCGCGACTCGCGAGTCTCAAAGTTGAAAAACATTTTCGGTTAAAAATACATTTGTATTGACAGAGGGTTAATCCACCTGGTTGGTTAATATTTATAATAGTGGAGCAATACAAATTGCATCTCCACTCCGTCCCTGTCCCACCCCCCTGTGCAAGTGTACATGCTCAAAGATTGGTTTTTGGTCATACATAGAGTTGAGTGACAGAATAGAAACTAGAAAAAGTTCTTTTCCCTTATACATATACATACACATATATGACGGTGTGACTTTGGTCCTGGTCATAAGTACACGATTAAACAAGCTGCAAAGGTAAACAAAATTTTGGTGCTGTAATGACTAATGATACTACTGCGTGCCATTCTACACTACTCAGTGGTGCGAGCATGGAGTCCATAATACGTGATATCCTTCCAGATTGTGAAACTGAGGAGATACAACTCACCCAGGTACAGCACAAGTCACACATCCCATCAGGTATGAAACTTTCGGATCTTATTTGCGATCAAAGCCGCCAAAGAGAACGTAGCAAGAGTATGAATAGCAAACCGAACAAACCCTTTCTTGATAAGTGGGCAACGCGAGTACGCAGCCTTGATGTTACAATGATCGGTAAGATTAAGGCGAACAGTCAAATAGAATTGGAAAATTCCCAACAGGCAACTTATATACACTCCAAGGAAATCTACGCCACTCCAGATGCCACCTTCAAAGAGAAGAGGTCATCAGATAACGGCAGAGATGAAAAGTTGGTTGCAAAACTTAATAGTCCTAAAGAACTGTTCAGAAAATTACGTCACAGTGTCAGGAGGATGGCGCAACAACATAAGAGTTGCGAGATTGTGATACCAAGTACACTTAAGAAAACATCAGCATGTGTTTGATGTCACACTGTCCGTTTTTAAAATGAGTCTAGAAGTATCTGCCATACAATCAGCCAATGAATAGTATATTACAATAGTTCAAATCTTACTGAATAAACTTTAATGAGCAGATCTGGATGCAGCCAGCTACAAACCGTACGAACTTTATACAATTACTGTAAACTATGAGCTGCTGATACTTAACATGAATAGTGCTGACTTCCTACTTATCCAGAACCTCCGTCTCTCTTACTATAAATTGTATGGTTTTGAAGGTTTGAGCCAATTTGTTTGTGTCTGTAAGGCTCAAGATGATTAATTGGTATTTGGTATTTCAAGACAATCTGTTGCCCAAGGTAAATTAAGAGTCTCTCCTCAAAACCTGGTAAACTCGGACGTACCGTGAATTGTAGCACCACCATTGTCAAGCATGATATAAATATTCGGGTGTGGCCGCAAGAAAACCAATGCAAGTATCAAAGCGTGTATAATATCACTATGAACTCACTCAGAAAGCTTACACATTGTGCATCCGGTGTAGGTTCACAAAATTAATAGCCCTCTGCTTTATGAAGATTCTACGTCTGCTGGACTGCTCTTCAAAGTACTGTAAACACAACAGAAATGGCACGCGTACACAGAATTGGACAAAGTCAAAGAGTATGCTCGAGCCCAATCGTTGCAGCCACAAAAAATATTAATCTACATACATAAAACACAGTAGAGCATCAAATATCAATCTACATACATAAAACAATACGGGGATGTCCAACAGCTCATTTAACACTGGATGTAACAACTACATATTTTCAATCTCAAGCGATGGTATTATAAAGCGAGCTATATCTGTGCTAGTAATCACACCATGCACTCAGTGGTGTATAAATGCATATCAAATCAGCGTGCATTTATGAGTATATTTTTAATAACAATCGTACCGTTTGAACATAAGCGAAAGTACTTGTATCTCGCCAATATACGTTCTATAGCAAAAATACATATGCGGACGTAGGAAGGCGGAGCGCAGTGTTCACCACAAGTAAATCTCAAGAGATAGTTTTATAACCAGCCATATCACAGTATAGCGCCATAGTCAAAATATGCACTCAATGATATGCATTTCATATCAGCACGCATTTGTGACGAACTGGCTATTTCTAATTCAAGCTTGTACAGCTTAAACACACAGCGAAAATACTTAATTTCCTACAAAATGCGTTTTATAGCAAATATATTTGAGGATGTTTTAACGCCGGACGCAACGTTCCCCTCTTAATTGCAAGAGATTTGTTTATAACAAGCTGTATCTATATTAGTATTCAAATCATGCATTCAATTATGTTCATCGCAGAATAGCACGAATTTCTGTCGGACTGTTTATGTGGAATTTTCATTTACAATAGCTTGTACCGATTGAGCACACCAATATGTATTTTATAGAAAAGATACATGGATACATATCGGATTGAAAACTCTACCATTCTAACCCTCAGAGCCTCTGAATTTCCAATTCTACTTATTGTTCCCAGGTAAGTTTTTAAAAAGACAATTCTTATCCGGCAAGCCATACGTCTTTGTTTCACATTCCGCTTTGTGTTGCTTGACGCTTTCGATAGAGCACATTTTCGCATACCACGCATCCAGTTTTGCGTATTCTTTTAGCAGAGAAGAATCTAAATACTGTGCTAACATCAAGGGATGCAGTATTGCGAAGTCTCCGTAGCTGCGAGGGTTAAAAATTTGTTCCACATTAGCCTATATATGTCCAAATGAAGATATTGATGTCTATGTGCATATAAGAATTTGAATATCAATTTATTGTACACCTTTCAAATCTGGCTACACCAATTGATGTGAATGTATAAATATATCTAGGATTTGGCTATCGATATATCGTACACAATTGGAATCAGCATGTCTACCTATCGTATACTATTGTCAACTATTGTCTATGACTCGCCCTAAAACGCCTTCAACCCTTTATAACAGTGTTACCGTCAGTAGCTAATAGTCGCACAAAATCACCCATTCATTGCAAGATTATGCAAATATCACAAGCAAACGTACAGAGTCTACCTATGTAAAGAAGTTTATCCGATACTGGATTTCTAACCTTTGCACAAGTAGAGTGCCTTTGCTTAGTACAGCTAACCTACCTAGAAGAATCAGACGTACTAATTTATATCAGAAGTTAACACACGCATACGACACTGAAAACCTGGAACAAAATCACATCACGGAATTTACCATAACATTCCTTGGCATAGCGCCCATAGCAAATACGTGAGAAACACTTGTCATTTTGCATGACATACTTGCCCAGTCCCCACACTATAGCATGGATAGTGCTGGATGTTGAACCTAATCCTGTAAGATTGGACAGCCATGCACCTACAAATGAGACCTCGGGTTGGATGTTTACAGATACCACATTTATCATTTCATGCTACACTGCACTCTCACATACCTCGGCGTTTCTCCATTGAAGTACGACCCATCCCCTAGAATACGCTCGGAAGCAGACAACCAGTTTGGCATTTTGGTAAAATACGTCTCCTTAGCAGTGTTGAAGGCTTCTGATCCTTCCTCATGACCATTACATAGGAAGTTGCAGCCATGCATTTCCTGTATTAGAATACGCACATAAATATGTCAACAAAAGAATGGATGTTGGTGGGGATGTTTTCTTTGTATAGAATGTATGTATAGGCAGGACCAAAGGCGTTTTCACGAATCTTTCACGTTGCACGATGTTCATTCATTTAAAAGATATCTGCATTTTCAGATTTTTGTCTTCCCACCCTATGAATATAACATACCTTGAGGTATATAACCAAAAAAAACATGCAACTGACCCATTCAGATCGGCATAACTATACGGACATACTCAGTGTGGTAGAGTGAGACAATCAGATAATATACTCCATCTGATTACATGTGTGTGGACTGTGGTCACTCTAACCAAATCTTGATATAAGCAAAAAAAAATATCGAATCGCGTACCAATTCATACTAATATATCCAGGCATGCCGCCGGTTGCACGAAATTCCAATTGCAGCTCCATATATTATGATTAAAACAGTTCACGCACACTCCCGACAAAACCGCAGTATCATAACATATACGCATACCCGGAGCAGATACACAGACATAACCCGCAGTATCATAATATATACACATATCCGTGGAAGATAGCACACGTGGCGAAGAGTTATATATATATAAACATATACATTACATATATTTATACATACATATACATATATATATATATATAACTACCTATACACGTACATGTACATACTTGTACATATATATATATAAGTAGACTTACGTCAGCGACATCCAACACTTCATCCGCCTTAAGGATACCCTCGGGCGTGGTAGGTGTGATGTTTGCTAACGACGCAACATATCTGATGATTGCATTGCTCTGGATGTACAGATTTCCTGCACGGAAGGGGTAAAGTAAGAAGAAAATATGAAGAGAGGATTCATAAAAACATACACACACACAAACACACACACACATGTATGTCCGTAGAAGTGCACATTCCTATTAAAAACGAGCACAAGGCTATGGACAAATATAATATTAGAACAAATCTGTGCGCGGAAAATAATTTTGCCGTTCTGGACCGCTTTATGCACTCGCTCTGATCTTGTGCTGGAAAATCTATCCAATCGTGTAGCAGATATATGAATGTGTATTGCACTGTTTCCAGTTGCGACTACTCACTCCCCCAAAATTATAAGGTTACCAGGCACGTGCAGAAACGCATGTGCAGTATGTGAACATAAATGCGCAGTGCCCACATAGAACGATATTCCATTGATAGCTTTGTAGTCTTAAAAACGTATACATTACGTTTCCAATGAGAAACAATGATGGTTCACTTACCGTCTTTAGTTTTGATCGACGGCAACTGGCCTAACTTGCAGATCTCCTGTTTCTCTTTCTCCGCTCCCTGTCGAGAAAATAAGCAGTTAAGTAAATGAACATACATGCATGGACTGTGAAACTAAATGTGGGAAATATATGATGGTGAGCGCACGACTCTAAGCGTACCAGCGTTTGAGTACGAAACTATAACAGAATAAAAATTAATATGCTTTGACCAACCCTTCACACATCAATAGTATACATCAAGCAGTTTACGGGATCGGATGCCTGATATTGATTTGATATACAGATTCTATCTTTATTTTTTACACGCAAACGCACAATCATATGAAATCTTCCGGTGTGAACGTTTTGGGATATTATACATCTATATTTGAGTTAGACCTCGATTTTCAAGCGCATTGAGAGCAGAGGTATTCGAATCCAATGGTATAATCGGGCTGTGCCCAGTGTCGCACCCAAAACTGAAGGGAACCATACACAACCGTACCATGAATTTATATGTAAACCAAAGAAAAATGCACAAATATACACAAAAGACTATATATATAGATATATATATATAGATATATATATATATATATATAACACTATATATATATATATATATATTATACGCACATATATATATATATATATATATATATATATATTTATATATATACCTAAAACCATGTCTATATCTTTATCAATCTCAACATCGTATACTCACCCAATCGCTCCAGGGTATGGTGACATCGTCAAAGTCGACGTTACCGTACTTGAGGATATACTTTATAGCCTCAGCCTTTGCTCGGATAGGGAGATAGTACAATGTAAGTCTACCGGCAGCCATGGTGAATTAAATAGTGTGTTGATTCGAACAACGTTTAGAAAGTGAGTGTGGATATCTTCCTCAATATGTTGCCTTTTATATCATGACAGCTTTTCTAAAGGGAAAATATTTCACACACAGGCCCACGCCCCGCAGGGTCACAGGCCACAGCCCAGTAGCCCACAGGCGGCCAGGCCGCCGCCCAGGCTACACCACCACAGCCTACAGCCCTACAGGCTACAGGCCTACATTCTACACTTACAGGCTACCACAGGCCACAGGGGTATATATAAAAATTTAAAAAAGGTGGACAATACATACATTGATACATACATACTTCATCTTGTAAATAAGAATTTAAACCATATGATTGGCCAAAAGGTTGTTGGTTATTCCCCTCAGGCCCTCTCTCTTGAGTATCAGTATGAGTGTCTCTACTCGTTACTCTTGAGTCTTGCGATTTGTGAAAAAAGTCAAAAGTGAAGACTGAAGACTCAAGGCAGGAGTCCAAAGTCTAAACACACAAATTCTGTAGGCTACCGCTAAAGTCACAAGTGGGCTTCTTTTTTAGGCCGGAGGGCGTCGGAGGCTTGCAGTCCTGCACTCAGCCCTGAGCCATTGACAGTTAGGCGTCGGCGGAGTTTTGCATTCCAAACTATTTTGGGACCGATGAAGTTGTGAAGTGTCAACTGTCAAGTGACCCACAAGTGTGAACAAATGTATTGATCTTCATTGGGTCTACATTGGACAATTGTTGCACACTGATATACAACCAATTGAAACGGTTATTGTATTCCATTTTGCGCATGAGTATTGATAAAAAAAACATTTCAAACCTGAAATAAAAATATGTACAGATGTTCAAAGGTCTCTTCGAGTCTTCAACTTGGACTCGGTACGGAACTAAAATACGATTAATGAGATTACCATTGTATTTTTTTTATAAAACAATATAGTAGGGACGATCTGAGGACTGAGGGCCGCTGTTCTTCTGAGGCTCTGAGCTAAAATTTAAAAAATCGAACTCTTTCAGGGCTTGGTGGCTATCCTCAAACCTTCGTGAAACATGAAATAAATAGTAACGTTGGAACTCATAGTGAAGGCTTTGGACATAGCCTTCTAAAAATTATGAGCGCAAGAAGCCTATGTGGAAGAGGTTTCAAATTTTCACGACCCTCTCTCCTCTCGCTACTCTACTCTACTCTAGGGAGCAAATTAAATAAACAAGCCTGATCGGACTATTGCCCGAAAGACGAGGACTCACGAGGTTTCGAGTAAAAAAAAGTAGATTGTTTAGCAATAATAAAATGTAGAGAATTCTTGATGCCACCGCTGTAAGAGCCACCTAAACCGTCACCTATAGTTCGAGCCACCTAAATTGGCCACCATTGTAAGAGCTACCTACAGTCGCCACCTACATCCATCGTTGACACCATCCGTGAAAATTCTGACATGACACCACCATTACTATAGTAATAACTATAGTAAACACATGCGTACAATACATTATATGTATGTAAACACCCATTTCTAAATCAAACAGAAGGCAATGAAACACCACGGAAATTGAGCGTTATATCGAGTTTGTATTGAGCTCTACTGAGCGATTATATTCACCCGCAATGTCTTAGATGATTATATACCGCTTGTTGAGAGTGAAACCGGTGTGATGGTACAGTTCGATCTAGACCCTAGAATAACCGCGAAAAATCTGGTAGCACTTGTGATTCATGACCGTGTACCTCAGGAAACCGGGAATAGCCTTGAACGATTTTATGCAATTGAGCTGATCTACAACCCATACCAAGCATTTAGCTCTGGCGTATGGTATCAGGTATCGCGGGAAATAGTCAAGAGTCTTCTTCGCCAGAAGGACTCTATAATCGTGGTGATTGCAAATTGAAGAGAGCGAGGACAATAAATACATACAAGTTTAAATTTCGGTTAAGACAAGACTTGTCTCAATACACAACACACCTATAAGCGTATTATTAGGCATAAATCATACTTAGAAAATTTCCAATTTTTTTGTATATACGTACAGTAAAGGTGGCGGCTGTAGGTGGCTCGAACTGTAGGTGGCGGTTTAGGTGGTTCTTAGTGGTGGCATCAAAATTTCTCAATTATGTATTGCTCTTTCCAAAGTGAACATGGACAATATATTTGACAGGTTACTCTCTACTAGTAGAGAACAAAATGGACATCCATTGCTAGAACAGGTAAAATATGGACTATTGGCGAGTACCCTCAGTGTGTGGTACTATTCCTCTCTTGTACAAGTGATATTATTGTGAAATACATAATAGTTAAGTCGAGAGAGAGCGCAGAATCGCAGATACATACGTAAAGTAATAACTCGCTTTCCAACTAACTGGTATTATTTACATTTGTATTTTAATTCATATTTGTCTCAAACAACGAATATAAGTATTTATACACACTATAGAACTAACAGGACTACAAGTAAGCCGCGAACACAATGGATGGCGAGTTAATATGTTCCGACTGCGGTGAGAATGACTTTGGGGAGTTTGATGAGGACACTCAAACGTCGATGTGTATGTCCTGCGGGAACGAACAAGGCCCTCGGAAACACTCTATATATACACACTTTGCCATTGCGCGTGTAGATAAGTTGAACCCTGTCAAGAATAATACCAAGCTGAAGCATGTGACACTTAATGTAGGTAAAGATAAAACGGTAGGTGTGGTTACGAACGCGAAGTATATCGCAGAAGGTGAGACTGTCGTGGTGGCGCTGGTAGGTGCGGTGGTCCCAGCGGGGAGTAATGTAGATGAGAACGCGAATGCGATTACAATTACCAAGACAACGGTATGTGTATATGTATTTGATGATCTGTATGTATATACGTATGAGTAGGACTTCATAGGAAATATATAATAATAAAATACGGACATGCTCCGTGTCTTTATCCAGAGTGACTGCCAATTCCCTTTCGAGAGAGTTATTGTTGCGTCGGCAATTGGGAATGTGTTCTATTTGTGGGTATTGCTGTAAGGCAAAATGTCGATCCATTTACGACAGCTCTTGCAACGGGGTGTGAGCACCCTTTCATATCTATAAACATGCTCCTAGAATATTTTTATGTATGGTATCGCTGTGTATAAAAGTATTTGTACAAACACACACACACGCACACTTACACGCACACTTACACGCACACACACACACAAGTGCATATAGATACACACACAAGTGCATATATATACACACACAAGTGCATATATATACACACATGCACGCGCGTGAATATATATATATATATATATATACAGACACACACACATACAATCACATATATATACAGACACTCACACATACAAACACACAAATACACACATATA